TAGTGCTTTGCTAAGTTGCCGAGGTTGGTCTCAACTTACAATCTTCCTGTCTCAGCCTCCAGAGTCACGGGGATCTCCATGCCCCACCAGGCCACTGAAATTCTATTTTGTCTGGATTAAGTGGCCATTCTTTGGCTAATGAGTGGATCCTCAGCCTGATTGAAATATACCCCCCCCCTTTCTTTAACATTTTTTTAGTTGTTGATGGACACTATACCTTTATTTAGTATTTTTTTTTTTTTTTTTTTTTTTTTTGGTGCTGGGGATGCAACCCAGTGCTTCATGCATGCGAGGCAAGCACTCTACTACTGAGCCACAACCCCAGCCCCTGAAATACACCTTTTTAGGAGTGGAAGGGAAGAATAAGGACAGAGTGGATGGCCCAGGGGTCAGCTGGGGCTTTGTCAAGCTGGAGATTAGGGCCTGGTGTCCTTGTAGTTGGAGACCCACTTTGGGGTGTGAATCTCTTCTTCCATGAACCACCTGTGTGGTCTCCTTGCTTCCTTTTCTTCAGGGCAGGGGGGGTAATAACAGTAACTGCCTCAGCAGAGGTGAGGTGTGAAACAGAATGTGGATAGATGGGTAAAGTGGCGGGGTACTCATCACTATGCTAACAGAACAGCTGGGTGAAGTGTTTGGAATAGTGCATGATCCCTAGTGGATGCCTGGTCAATGCTGGGTCTGCCCACCCTGTCCCTTTCTCTTACCAGCTCCTGGCCCTTTCCTTCACCTCCCTCTCCCTCCTCTTGCAATCCCACCTGCTCTTCCCCTCTCTGTTTCCTTCCTCCCGCCTGGCCTTCCCTGTCCCCCTCTGCTTCTGACTCCTCCTCCCTCTCCTAGGGTCCTTAACCTTCCCTTTCTCCTTCTGATGGCTCCTCCTTCTATTCCTTCCTTTCTGCCCCTCCTCCCTTCCCCTCCACCCTGGAGGAGTTGGCTCTAGGTGAAAGTAACTGCTGTTGTTTGTCGCAGCAGAAGATAAGCCCCAGCCTTCTCCTGCTGCGACCTTTGCTCTGACCTCCCCAGGTGAGGCCCACCTTCAGAGTTCAGCCCTAGCTGCGCTCTCTCCCAGCTTCCTCTGAATGGCCTGACAAGTGTCACCATGTCACCCGCTTATTGGCCACATTGGTCACTGTGCTGGAATATCATCAATCTCCATTTATCAGTCTCCAAGTTCCCTGAGGGCGGAGACTTGTCTGCTTTTCTTCCCTTGAATTCCTGCCCCTTCAGGGTATCCACACTGCATCAATAAATGACTCTACATCAGGGCAAATATGAATTAGGAAGTGTGGACTTTGGAAACAAGAGTCCAGAGTCTGTAGGGAGACAGCATGACTTTGGGTAACTTATTATTGCTCTCTGGGCCTCAGTTTCTTCATCTGTAAAATAGGCAAGATGTTCATTTCCCTTGTGGATTGTGATAAAGAAGAACTTTTTTTTTTTTTAATTTGCAACACTAGGGATTGAACCCAGGGATCCTCTGCCACTGAGCTATATCTACAGCCATTTTTTTTTTTTTAAATTTTGGAGACAGGGTCTCACTAAATTTTTCCAAGCTGGCCTTGATCTTGTGATCCTTCTGCCTCAGACTTCTGAATTGCTGGGATGTCAGGCATGCACTATCATGCCCAGGTGAAATAAGATCTTATATCTTATATCACTTTTGCAAGATGCTTTTAAGCTTCATTTGCATAGCATTATAGAAGTTATGAATTAGGGTATACGTTGGGGGTTGAGGTAATTCATGCTGTCATACGTAACGTGGTTTCATGGCTCTGTGTAAAGACCCAGGACTGGCCATCAGCAGACTTGATTCTCTTTTTTTAAAGTATTTTTATCAGTTATTAATGGACCTTTGTCTATATGTGGTGTTGAGAATTGAACCCTGTGCCTCACACATACTAGGCAAGTGTTCTACCACTGAGCCACAACCCCGGCCCCAGACTTGAGTCTCTTGTAGATCTGCTACTCCCTGGCTACCAATCTTTGCTCCAGAGGCCTTCCTACAAGGCTTTTCCACCCTTTCCCCAGGTAAGGCCCATCTGGGGGTAACACCTGCTTATGTGATATGAGTCAAGATCAGAGTAAGTGGGTTCAGTTGGAATAAACTTCCATAACGTTATTTGCTTAATATATACTTTCTTGCAAGTTTACTTTAAAAGAATACTTTAGGGCACTGTAGTAAATATTGCAAGTAGAACGTAACAGCAAGCAAAAAACCCTGGTAGCATGAAAACAAACGTGTTACTAGTATCGTGCCAGATAGTACCATCTGCCAAGGCTCAGACCCAGGCCTCTTCAGGCTTTGTGAAGAAAGGAGGTTGGGAAGAGGTGGGTTCATGCCAGAGAGGTGGTAGCACATCTCTAGCACTCAGATTGAGACAGGCTGTGCACTCCCAGGAAGACCGTGAGCCTTGATACAGGCAAGTGAGTGAGTGTCATCTGGGTAGCATTCAGCCTGTGGGGCTATGATTCCCATTTCTCACTTTGGAAAACACTGGATTCAATCAAAGACCTGGAGGGGACAGTCCCTGGTCTGCCTGTCATTTGGTGCTTTGAATGAGCTGGGCTAGGTGTAGAATTGGCTGCTCACACCCACGACCCAGGGATGGATCCATCATGCCTGACTGTGGAATCCCAGACCCCAGCCATGGCTATTTGCCGAGAGAGAGAGAGAGAGAGAGAGAGA